TATTCATACTGACCCCCCCCCACGGAGATTCCAATCGAAACCCTCCACAGGTAGGATTCCTTTTGGAATCTACCACGAAGGATACCCCCATTGGCATTGCATTGGCATTGGATTGGGATCGCCTTGGCATTGGTTTGGCATTGCGAAAGCAATGCTTTGGCATTGCGTTGTCATTGCGCTGGCGAGTCCTAATGGCTCCCTCCGCAGACGGACTCCCACCGAAACCCTCCACAACAACGAATCCGATTGAATCTTCCCACGTGAAGGAATCCGAATGAAACCCTCCACCTCAGGATCCCTATCGAAAAAATCCTATACATGAGCATTGCTACTTAAATCCTCCGAAGAAGGATTCGTATTGACCTCATCCACAAAGTATTATTATTGCTATCCACCGAACGAAGGGATTCCCCATTTGCATTGCATTGGCCTTGGTGTTGGTTGGGAATGGATGTGTATCGCATCGGCATGCGTTGGCGTGGTGCTCGAGATAGGCAAAGAGAGAGAGAGAGAGAGAGAGACAAAGAGAGAGAGAGAGAGAACACTAGAGAACGATACAACGAGAAAATTAGTATGAGGGGATCACGGCGAAAATAAAAATGACAAACAACAATCGAATTTCTGGGTGAACGAGCGTTTCACTCGGTACAAACTGTATGACAACGACGACGGGCTCCACAATCCCCCGGCCTCTCCTCCTCCTCCTCCTCCTCCTCCTCCTCCTCCTCCTCCTTCTCCTCCTCCTCCTCCTCCTCCTCCTCCTCCTCCTCCTCCTCCTCCTCCCCCTCCCCCTCCTCCTCCTCCCCTCCCCCTCCCCCTCTCCTCCTCCTCCTCCTCCTCCTCCTCCTCCTCCTCCTCCTCCTCCTCATCCTCCTCGCAGGGGCGGCCTTTGGCGATGTAGCTGGAGGCTCGTCGTCGTCCTCAGTCCTCCTCCTCCTCCTCCTCCTCGTCCTCCTCCTCCTCCTCCTCCTCCTCCTTCTCCTCCTCCTCCTCCCCCTCCTCCTCCTCCTCCTCCTCCTCCTCCTCCGCCTCCTTCTCCTCCTCCGCGTCCTTCCTGGAGGCGGGGGAAGGGGAGCGCGGTGGTGGGCACGAGAGCGCGGCGCCTCCGTGGGCCCGGGCGCCGCGGCCGCGGCGGCAGGCACGGAGCCCCTGCCGCTGCGGTGCGGGGGCCTCGGACAGGGACCCGCCGGATAGAGGAGCCCAGAGGCTCCATCGTGGATTGGCCATGCGTGTCATTCGGACGGCGGGGGGGGAGGGGGGAGGGCTTCTTAGAAGCAGGCTGCTTCTCAGAAGGCGCCGGCCTTACATCTACAACATCTACAGATAAGGCCCGCGCCTTCTAAGAAGCAGGGGTGCTTCTAAGAAGCCCTCCCCCCTCCCCCCACCCCCCTCTGCGCGTGGCTGACCACTGCCGCGGGAGAGCCGTGGCCAGCGGTGGCGGCTGTCGATGGCTGGGCGCGCGGGTCGGCGAGCGGACCCGGGGGGGCCCCTTCGGCGCCGCCGTCGCCGCCGCGCGGAGCACCTCCACCGCGGCCGCGGGGGCCGAGTCGCTGCGCGCCGCGGCCCAAGAGCCGCCGCCGGCGCTGGGCGCTGGCCGGCTGTGCCGCCATGCCATGCACTAAGGAGGCCTCATGCAAACTCTACCCCACCACCCAGCGATTTCTGAAGGGGGAGGCGGGGTTCACTTCTCTCGGGAGGTCCCCAACGACGTGAAACCCGCCTCCCCCTGTAGGACTCTCGGGAGATCCCCGACGACCGGGGACTGGAAGCCAGTGGGACCTCCACCGTGGATTTGCCATGGGTGCCATTGCCGCTCTCGTCCGAGAAGGAACCCGCCAAGGCATGAAGACTCTTGGGTCTTCAAGCCAGTGAGACCTCCATCCCCTTCCTGAGGGTCATGAAGAGCCCCCCCTCCTTCAGACACCCCGTAGGACGAGCAGACTGAACCCCCGCGAGGGGAAGGTCCAGACCAGCGCGAAGCATAGCGCACCACTCGCACTGTAAGCCAGTGGAACCTCCATCGTGGATTGGCCATGCGTGCCATCGCCGCCCTCGTCCAAGAAGAATCCCGCCAAGGCATGGAGACTCTTGGGGCGCTCTCCTCACCAAACGCTCCCACCGTATCGCCACAGGACCATCAGCGGACCCTGCGGGGGGTATCCGCGCCCACGCCTTCGGCGGGCCGCCGCGCGCTTCCCAGCTGGCGGAGGCGGAAGGACGCCTCGACGTCGTGAGCAACGCGGTGGCCGACGTGGAACGACCGCCTGAGGGAGCGGGAGGATGGCCCGAGGCCGCCTTCACCGGGATGATTTTCCCCACATCCTGAGTGGGGTTCTTGTTTTCCCAGAACATCCTCTCCTTCTCCCTCCCGCCTCCCGCCTCCCATATCAATACCCCGCCTGAGCGAGGAGGGTATCGGAAACCCATACTATTTACAAGGTTTCGTGCCCCTCCCATCCCTCCAGGGAGGCCCCGCCTGAGCGAGGAAGGTATCGGAGACCCATACTATTTACAAGGTTTCGTGCCCTTCCCATCTCTCCAGGGAGGCCCCGCCTGAGCGAGGAGGGTATCGAACACCCATACTATTTACATGGTTTCGTGCCCCTCCCATCCCTCCAGGGAGGCCGCGCCTGAGCGAGGAGGGCATCGGGAACCCATACTATTTACATGGTTTCGTGCCCCTCCCATCCCTCCAGGGAGGCCCCGCCTGAGCGAGGAGGGTATCGCAAACCCATCCTGTTTACGTGGTTTCGTGCCCCTCCCTCCCCTCCAGGGAGGCCCCGCCTGAGCGAGGAGGGTATCGGAAACCCTATACGATTTACATGCTTTCGCGCCCCTTCCACCCCTCCAGGGAGGCCCCGCTTGAGCGAGGAGGGTATCGGAGACCCATATTATTTACATGGTTTCGTGCCCGTCCCACCCCTCCTGGGAAGCCCCGCTTGAGCGAGGAGGGTATCGGATACCCATATTATGTATATGGTTTCGTGCCCCTCCCATCCCTCCAGGGCGGCCCCGCCTGACCGAGGAGGGTATCGGAAACCCATACTATTTACATGGTTTCGTGCCCTTCCCACCTCTCCAGGAAAGCCCCGCCTGAGCGAGGACGGTATCGGAAACCCATGCTATGTATATGGTTTCGTGCCCCTCCCACTGACATGGGTGAGGAGGAGGGGGGAACATTACCTATCCATCTCACGTCCTACTCCTCCCACTGAGGAGGGTGAGGAGGAGGGGGGGTTCTGCGATGAGGAAGGCTTCACCATGATGATGGTGATGACGATGGGTATGTTGCTGTTCACGATGACGATGACGATGGCGATAATGGTGATGGACGATGACGATGGCGATGACGGCGATTCTGATGATGTTGATGACGATGATGCTGATGATGACGATGATGATGCTGACGATGATGACAACGACGACGACGAGGATGATGATGCAGATGCTGGTGATGATGACGATGTTGCTGCTGATGCTGACGTTGCTGGTGCTGTTGATGATGATGACGGCAATGATGCTGATGATGATGACGTCCAAGATGATGCGGATGATGCTGATGCCAAGGGCGGTGATGGTGATGATGATGATGACGATGATGATGATGATGATGATGACGATGATGGCGACGACGATGATGGTGATGACGATGGCGCTGACGATGGTGATGATGATGCTGATGGTGATGATGGTTATGATGATGCCGATGATGCTGATGATGACGAAGATGATGATGATACTGCTGCTGCTCGTCACCATCATCCATCTTATCCTCTTCCTCCCCCTCCTCCTCCAGGAGGATATCGGACAACAAGGCAGTTTACACGGTTTCGTGTCCCCCCTCCACTCCTCCAGAGAGGCCGCGCTTGAACGAGGAGGGTCGCGGAAAGCATTACTCTTCACCAGGTTTCGTAGCCCTCCCCCCTTCCAGCGGGGCCCCGCCAGAGCGAGGATGGTATCAAGAAGCCGTACTATTTACAAGGCTTCGTTTCCTGAGCACCTGTCCTCCCTCCTCCTTTCTTTCGTCTGCCCTTTCGTGCGTACTTACTCGTTCGATGAGCTTCTCCTTCGTGATGTTGTCGTACCCCATGGGTCCCACGAAACCGTTAATATCTTTATGTGGGGAACTCCGTTAGCATAATCTTTGAAAGAGCTGCGTTCCCCCACTGGACAGCAGCGCTGACCTGGATCACCTGGGCCGCTTCCGCTCTCTCGCGCGGCGGCGTCCAAGGATGCGCTGCCCTGGCAGCCCACTCGGCAGAGCGACAGAGGATGAGCTCCCCCGAAAGTGCTGCCACATCTTGGCCACAGGTGCGGCCACCTGCAGGATCCGCCAGATCTCTCCAGCCAGTGGCCCACGCCCCGCGGCGGCCATGGAGGCCGTGCCCATGCCCTCCACCACGGACGGTTGATGTTCCCACCCGGTGGCCATCCTCAATTTTTGGACGCCCGAAATGGGCACGAGGAACATGTGCACGATGCCCAGCAACACCTGTTGCCCAAAACCTACAGCGGCCGCATTTGGGCAGGCGGCCTCCTGTCTCAAATGGACCACGCCCGCGTCGACACCGACAACGCGTCCTGCTCAGGATGAGCCAGAGATGCCGTCGGTCGTAGTACCCCTCCTTTCCGTACCGATTTCGATCGCCCCGATCGTCAACAGCCCCTACCAAGGCCGTACCCATGCCCTCCACCACGGCCGGCTGATGCCCTCCATCCGGCGGCCATCCTCAACAGCCTCTACATTAGCCTGGCCCGGCGATCCCAACGCGCACAACAGCCTCTATATCCTGCCTGTCCCTCCTCTTCCTCCTCCTCCTCCTCCTCCTCCCCCTCCTTCTTCTCCTCCTCTTCCTTTCGGCGAGGTCTGGGCTCTGCCGTCCCTGGGGCCGCCGCCGCCTCACCGACGTGCGCCGACGGGAACCGCGCGCCCCTCGATGAGGCCTCGGCGGCGGCCCTCCCGGGGCCGCCCCGTCGCGCGGGGAGGACGGGGCCCCGGCGATCTTCTTGGTGGTCTTGGCCTCGGGCAGCAGGCCCTCCTCCTCAATCGTGCTCCTTCGCTTCGCTCCTCCCTCGCTCGTCCTCCTGCTCGTCCTCCTCGTCCCTCCTCATCCCCCTCCTCCTCCTCCTCCTCCTGCAAAACCCCGAGGAGGGTTCTGCGCGGGAGCTTGGCGACAATGATAACGATAGGTCACCTTTATACTCCCGAACGGCAAAGCAGGTCTATGTAGCTTCGACCGTTAAACACTTGAGCCAAAGGCAGCAGGGTTACTATTCCTCCCCTGTCACACGCATGCTTACATGTTAACACCCCCCCTCGGACGCCAGTCCGCATTGGCTGACGGGGAGGTGCCTGTAAACTCAAAGACAGGTTAAATCAAGCAACAGACTGTATGAACATCGTTACATCACCGAATTCAAAATATCTCGTAACAACGTTCACGAGCACCACGTCTCTCAGACATGCAACGTGAGCTCAAGTAAACATTCAATCAGTTACGAGTTTAAACGTAGCATCCAAAGTTCACACGGCAGGCTAGCATTTATATGGTTTTGATTGCTTTCGCTTTTTATGCGCCAATACCTGCGGTAACTATAAAAGATGCACATGCAAATAGATTCAGCTCAATGGTCTACTGCAACGCTATTGTTAAGCCTGGTTGAGAGGGGAGATGAGAGCGAGCGTAAAAGAAAGGCATGCCGGTCACCTGTCACCGTTTACGAGCGGCGCGGGCGCCTCACTGACGGAGCACGCGCGCCCCTGGACTTCGGTAAACCACGGTGCCCCACGCTGGCCGCCGTATAGGACGACACCCTGTTAAGGGCCTGCGTCGGGCTGTAATAGTCGGTGTCCAGGTACGCGTTAATGCGCTCCTCGTCGTCCAGCCAGCACCCCTCGTCAAAACTCTTGGTGGACCCGTCAACAATGTTGTGGTAAGTGCCGATGGCCCTCCAGTAACTGGCGTGGGGAGCCTTCAGCAGAGGTTTACCACCTGGATTGTTGCGGAGGTGCTCCTCGACCGCAACTCCGGTAAACGGGTTCACAGTCCAGGCCGGGTCGGTAAGCCAGTTGGGGAAGTCGTCGCACGGCAACCATCCAAACCAACAGAGCTTCTCGCGGTGGTCACTTTTACGCTCGGTGATGTGATCAGCGGGCCAGTTGTCACGGTAAAGTGCCCTCATGGACCCCTGATCGTTAAGAGCGACGTCTAGGATGGTCTGGTGCCAGTAAACCGGAGGCTTGTTGATGCTGCCCTTTAACTCCTCGGCGCTCCTGACCTCGAGATCCTCGATGAAGTAGTTGCGGTAATACACCTGGAGCCCGTTCATGTAACGGCAATAGAGCTTGGCAAGGTCGTGCGTCGCAAACCTGATCACGGTAACCCCAGTTGAGATGTAACCGTGCGGTCCGTAAGTGTCTTCCACCAGGTGCTTAACGGAGACCACGGTGGGGTTGCCGTGGGGCAGCATCCCGGCCCACGTTAGCAGAAGGCCGTTAAGCTGTTTCTCGTTCATTTCTGGTGCCTTGTTGACGTAGACCTGTGTGTCTGGGCAGCTGTGAACGTCGAACCACACTGGGTGGAGATCGTTAACGTGGATCGGCGGCACGTACTCGTCGTCGAACAGGGATTGTACGTGCCCGACCGCGTCAACCCACTCGTCGTGCTTTTCCAGCTCCTTCTCCGTCAACTGAGATCTCCAGCTGCTTGGGCCCTTCAACACGGAGTAACCAAGGAAGCCGTAAGCGTGCTGCCCGTAAATGTCGACGAACACCTCATCGTAGTCGTTAAGCTCCCGCCCCGTGTTGCCCTGAATAGATCGACCGCCTGGAGTCGTTAACCCCTCTTTTGCCACATGTCCGACGAAGTTGCCTTCGAACCTGCGCCAGTTGTCGCGCGTCTTCATCGTTAACGCGACTACCTCCCTGGGGTCGGGCTCCACCTTGTGGTTGACATCGTGGTCCTCGCTCCTGTCGTTCACCATGGGCATGCGGCCGTTGACATGGTACAGTGGGCGGTACATGCCCCTGGCAATGTTCCGCGAGTATGCCGCAAGCTGCTCGTCCGTACGGCTAACAGCTCGAGGCTGCGGTGGAGGAACATACTGGGTCGATAACTTCTTGGGCGCCGGAGGCGGGGGATTCATGCCGCTAACACTGCTCGATGCACCTGACTCACCAAGGCCTGGAGGAGGCGGCCTGGGCGCCCTCACGTTCACCACCGGGGCAGGACCTTTTGATACTTCGTCACGTGGCCTGCCCTGCGCACGATCTTCATCCATCTTCATTCCCAGCTGCAGTAACTCTTCCAGTTCCCGTTTACGCTCATGCATGGCCTTGGGTGCTTTCTTGTAAACAGGTTGAGGTGACGTTGACTGCGGGATCTTGTTCGGCGACACGGATCGACCGAACCCTCCGGTCTTGGGCGCGGCGCCGGTAAAGCCCTGAGCCGGGGTTGCACCCGATGCCGCGGCAGCTCGGGCAAGAGGCTGGCTGGCCCCGCCCCCCGCGTTGACTGCAGTGGGAGGTGCCTTGGCGGCCACTGCCGTTGGGGGCTGCTCGGGCAACGGCGGAGGAACCTGCGGGATGTTGGTAACCGGGGAGTTGATCGGGTCATGCAAGAACCTCTGTAATCCTTCCAGCCACTCTGTTACTGCCACCAACAGGCGTAGTGCCGCATCACGTTTACCCTCGAAGTCCTGCAGGGGCGTGATGTTCTCGGTAAGGCGCTTGGCGGTGTTCAGGAGGTAACCAATGTTGTCGTTGATGCGCCTATACTTGGTTGCATTCTCCTCCGTGTTAACTCCCGAGTCGCGATTCTGAATGTTCAGGTCCGTAATCGTCGCCATCAGAGCGTTAATCTCCGCCTGCGCTCTTTGAAGATTCTCGTTGACGTCGTCACTGTCCTGGATCAGCGCCTCGTTCTGCCGCGTTAATTCCTCGATCCTCTTCGCCATGTCATCCGCGGCCCTTTGCACCTCGTCAACGTGTTTGTCGTAGGCCCCGTGGAAGTTGATCGCCATGTTAGTGAGGGTTACGGTAAACGCGTGAGCAACGTGCACCATGTCGTCAACACGGCGGTTGAGGTTCTCACGCGTAACCGGTCCATCCCCAGCCGGGCCCTGGTCGACCATGGAGCCGTTAATGGTGAGGTTGACCTGGGGAGCCGCCATGCCTTCGCTCACGTCCAAGAGTGAGAGGTAATGGGTGGATAAGGCCTTTAATAGCTGCAGTTTGCTTGATAGAAATGAGCTGCGAACATCAACATTCGGTACATCAACATTCGGTAGCTGGCGCAAGCTCATGCCTACCTGTTAATGCACATTGATTCGTGTTTCGTAGATGCGTGCTCATGCTTTCACGACTGACATACTTGGTCAACGCATCTGCTGCATTCTCGTGTGTCCCTACTTTCACAATGCGAATCACTCCCTCCTTAACTTTCTGCTGTAACCACAATTGACACACCTCGATATGTCTTACTTTCCCCAAGCCTCGTCTGCTCGCAATGGCAATCGCAGCCGTGGCGTCGCTCTTCACTGTAATCTCAACTTCCAAGTTAAAGTCTCTCAATACTGCCTGAAGTCCTAAACCCACAGATCCTCCTTTCACCAGTCCATAATATTCTGCCTCACCTGACGATAATGCGATGACACTCTGAGTCGTGCTCCAAGATTTTATGAGATGTTTACCCCACATCACTACCCCTCCACTCGTGGACTTCCTCGTTCGCTTACATCCTGCGTAATCCGTGTCAGTCCAAATAGTTAATTCTTGGGGCTGCTCCTGATACTGATACACATAGCGGCTTCTGCTGTGGTACTTCAAATACTTTCCTAACTTGACTAAACCCTTCCAAGAACTCATCGTGGGCTTTGACATGGTCCTAGCGAGTTCCTTTACCGAATACTGTATGTCAGACCTGTCCTGAGCTAAGTAGTTTGCTCTGGCCGTCAACGCTTGATATATTTTAGTCATGTTGGGCGAAAGTTCTTCCTCATCTCCCTCTTCAACTGGAATTCGCTCACCTGGCACTTCAGTCCTCACCTTTACTCCTTCTAGCTCAAGCTCTTTCACAATTATCTCTGCATGCCTTTGATCTGCCTCATACCTCAATCCTTCCTTCGTCCATTCCACAATCCTGTTAAGAATTCTGATCGCTTTTATGTCCTCCTTCCCTGGTCCAAGTCGTCCTCTCACTTTCACTTCAAACTCCTCCTTAATTTTATTTTCAAACCAGTCGAGATCATGATCACCCCCTAACAGCGTGAAACCATCTCCATGAACTGTTAACCATAACGCTCGACTCTCATGCTTGAACACACATGGTGATGCAATTCCGCTCTTGAACCCAGCCTCGTTAGCAAAGTCCATGTAACAGTCCTCCCAGTTGCTCGCAGCGTCTCTGGTTCCGTACATTGATTTTAACAGCTTTCCGCACATACCTGGTTCATAGTCTTCGTCTGGTAATCTGATAAATATGTCTTTCTTTGCTGGAGCGTAAAAGTAAGCTCGTTTGATGTCAATGAATGCTAGCTTTAATCCTTTCTCACGCTCACCGTTCGTGAATCCAACTCCCTCGGTAACTGCCATTGAGAAAAGCAGTTTTTGTGCCTCCAGTGGAGGTGTAGCTGCGAATATGTTCTTTTCTTTGGAGTTGTATTTAACTTGCTGGGCTACCAGCCTTGATCTGTGGTCTGGGCTTAACTCATCTCCTTTGTTGATGTCTATCCATCTGGTTCCGATGGGCGCCTTCCCCGTGATTTGCCGGCGCACTTCCTCTTTCACTTTCTCGTAAACTTTGTGTTTTCTGAATTGTTCCATTTTTTCTTGACGTGCTTTCACAGTCAATTTAGGGTCGAGCTCGTTTCCTGTGACATCATCCCAAGCTTGAGTAATCTCTCCATTTTCTTTGTGGACAACGTTGATTGTGTTCATTGGGAGAGGGTTAACTGTACCAGTTCTTTCGCACGCCTCACATGTACTAGGCGTCTTGAGCCATCCCTCATGCTCACTTTCACA